GAGCGCAAAAGCGAAAAAAAGAAAAAAAGAAAAAATGAATTCATTTTTTTAATCTTCTTCCTTACAACTCCCCCTGTTCATAACCTCTTGCGTACAAGGCCGCCCACGTGGATGTAGGTTGAGCGGTGGCTGCCCCCACCCCCGTGGGTCATATCGACCCACTTGCACACAGCCAAAAGGCAAAGAGGCAAAGAAAAGAGGAAGGGAACAGCCTAATAATACAGAACAGGGGGCAACAAAACAGATCCCAGATGACAAGTCCCACATGCAAGCATCGCCCCAGTCCCAGATGACTACTTCCTCTTCTATTCTTCCTTCTTCTTCTTCTTCTTCTTCTCTTCGTCATTGCATGTTCTTAATCCTTCCTGATGCTTGTTGGATGAATGAGGTTACACTTCTGAACAAACGACAGGACAAGACCAACCAGGATGTCAAAACATTCTTGTCTGCAAAGAAATCAAAAAAAGGTCCCAGATACATACCTATACACAGCAGATGGCCTTGTTCCACATCAAGAAGTTGGTATTCCTATTCGGCGTCATCGTAAGCAATCCGTACCGGGACATCATAAAAAACAATCCTAGATGATGATTCCCACATAAAAGCACCGCCCCCATTGACAGGCAGGACAACGGGAAGCAACCAACTAGGATACCAAAAAGAACCCGGAGGACCGGTATAAAAAGGCAATCCCGGATGACGATTCCCACATAAAAGCACCGCCCCCATGCGGTGCTTTTATGTGGGTTATATAGATGATGGTCATTTTATATGCATTTACAGGATTGCCTTTTATATAGATGATGGTCAGTTTATATGCATTTACATATTATGTATATATATATACTATATAATAAAACAAAAGTGCATATAGGCGCTCGCTCCACTACACAACACGAACACGAATGTGGCCTGGCACCTAGACCAATAACGGAGGGGGCCTCATGGTGGAAGGACAAGTCCAGCAGATGACGCCTGTTCCAGATTTTTGAATCAATCAACGGCCCCAAAGGCTTCAATCGGGACCAGAGGAAAAGGTTTTTTTCCCCAGCAACAAGAGAGGAAAAGGTTTTCGCCGCAGACAACAGGAGGCGGCAATGCCTCAAGAAGACATCGCCTCAAGAAGACATCGATCGGGTTGAGGAAGGAGGGGCAGACCAGGACCATAAGGGACACTACCAGCAAGAGATTCTCCTTGCTTGTGACGGCCGAATCAGCAAGGGACACCCAGCAAGAGAGGAACAGGTTTTCGCCGCAGACAGCAGGAGGTGGCAACGCCTCAAGAAGACGTCCATTGGGTTGAGGTAGGAGGGGCAGACCAGGACCATAAGGGACACTACCAGCAAGAGATTCTCCTTGCTTGTGACGGCCGAATCAGCAAGGGACACCCAGCAAGAGAGGAACAGGTTTTCGCCGCAGACAGCAGGAGGTGGCAACGCCTCAAGAAGACGTCCATTGGGTTGAGGTAGGAGGGGCAGACCAGGACCATAAGGGACACTACCAGCAAGAGATTCTCCTTGCTCATGATGGCGGAATCAGCAAGGGACACACCCAGCAAGAGATTCTCCTTCCCTTATGAGCCTGGTCTGCCTCTCCGTGCTCATCATCCATTTGGATTCCGATTTCACCATCCTCATCCAAGTTTGGATTTTTCCCTAAACCCTCCGGCACCTCAACTCTCCTTCCAGGCTAACACCTGGAACAGCTGGCCAAAGAAGAATGATGCGTCTTACTGGACTCCCTTTGATCCTTCCTGGGCTGTCTCTTATACACATCTAGATGTGTATAAGAGACAGACTTTGTTGTGGTGGGGGGGAGCAGTGCATCGTGGCAAGAGGTTTCTGGGATTGGATCAGTAGTTTAGGGCAATAGGCTTACGCGCCAGAACCAGAGAGCCTGAGAGAGGGTGAAAACAAAATAGGGGAAACTGCTCGTGCCTGAGTCACCTTTTTAGTTTGAAAAAAATAGGCAAGAAAAGACAAAGTGGCCCCGATGTCATCGTTTGAGTTTAAGAATGTGCAAGTTTAGTTTTGTGTGTGTGTGTGGGGGGGGGGGGGGGGGGGGAGGAGAAGAGAGAAACTGTGGCCGTTTTTTTCTGTGTCTTGCTACAAGTTTTGAGCGGATGCCTTAAAGGAGAAAGGAGATGAACTCTAGTTCCCTGATTGATGATGTAAGAGAGTTTGGTGTGTTCCAATTTTACCGGTACATGCTGATATAAAGATAATGACAACGAGGATGGCATTTTATTAATGAATTAAGGATGATGAAATGAATGATGACGATACTGTTAACGATCATGATGAGGATGGCATTTTATTAACGATGCTGTGAAAGATAATGAAGAGGATGGCATTTTATTAATTATTAACAATGATGATTGATGACGATACAGGGACGATACTGTTAAACGATGATGATGATGAGGAGGAGGAGGAGGAGGAGGTTATAGTGATGCCGATGAGGATGGCACTGTATTAATTAATTAAGGATTCAGAATTATCGAGGCTACGTGGGGTGCCCGGCCGGTCTCTGCAGCCGTGCAATTCGCCCAGCCGGTTGCGGGGCAGGCAGAAATCCAACTCGGTGACTCCCAAATCAATCAATCAATCAGTCAGCCAATCAACAATAAACCAACCAATTCATTATCTGACAAAACAATCAACCAATCAATCAATCAACCAATCAACCAACGACCACTCAATCAATCAGTGAATCAATCAACTAACCAACCCCTCAATCACCCAATCGACCAATCAATCAATTCCAGATACCCAAATCAACCAATAAACGAATCCACTAATCAAACCCTTCAATCAACCAATCAACCAATCAATTCCATCAATCAATCCGCAACCAGCGCCTCGGTGACTACAGTCTTCCCCCGAACATAACGCACATGCGTTGTACTCGAATCTCTAGGCTGTTCGAATAGAACAGCATACGCGTTGTATTCAAACAGAAAGCAACCCTATGCGTTGTACTCGTTTACAACGCATATGCCTTATTGTTCAGGGAAGGCGGTAGCGGAAAGGAGCCACATGTGGTCCTAATATCACCTTGCTCCTCTCGACGAGCCGTTCCTGTCGTGATTCCCTGTCCCGATCCCCATTGTGTGTGTGAACGCCTATCCCGATCACACGTGGACAACTCGGTTGATGCCTTTCGCCAGCATCAACCGAACAGTGTTAAGGGGTGCACATCGATTTATGGAACAGGCACACCCCTCCATCGATGCTGGCACCCCAGCATCAACCCAGTTTAAAGGAGCTCATCGATTTATTGAACAGCCGCACCCCTCCATCGTCGATGCAGGCAGCCCCGCCGGCGCCCCTCATCGAAAAGGATCGGGGCCATTCCGTCCAAGAGGGGGGGGGGCCTGTTTCAATCAATCGATGATGGAGATGACGGCTTTCTAATTAATCAATCAACCACCCTATCAATCTTCTAGGAGTTATCATCAACGCCCCTAGCTCAGTTCGAATCCAGATTGGCTAATTGATTGGGTGAATGATTGATTGATTGTTGATTGGCTGACCGATTGATTGAGATTGTTGATTGGCCGACTGATTGATTGATTGATTGTTGATTGGCCGACTGATTGATTGATTGATTGGCTGACTGATTGATTGATTGTTGATTGGCTGAAGTGTTGAAATACAGACCGGTGTTCTAATCCACTTGCAATCCGATGAACAGAATCCAACAATTAGGCGAATCCAGATTGGCTGATTGATTGGCTGAATAATTGATTGATTGTTGATTGGCTGACTGATTGATTGATTGTTGATTGGCTGACTGATTGATTGATTGATTGGCTGACTGATTGATTAATTGTTGATTTGCTGAAGTGTTGAAATACAGACCGGCGTTCTAATCCAGATGCAATCCGATGAACAGAATCCAACAATTCAATCAATCGATGATGGAGATGACGGCTTTCTAATTAATCAATCAACAGCCCAATCAATCTTGGAGTTGGGGCCCTGGAAGTGTTTAAAACGTGCCCGCCCGCACACTGATTATTATTCTCTCTTCAAATTTTTTGTTTCTATTATTATTTTTCGTTTTCCGTTATTTATTTTTAATTCGAATTTGGTATCGAATTTGGAGGTAACTCTGAGGCAAATGTTGTTCAGTTTGTCTGTATGCATAACATATATTTTTTTCAAATTTTTTGGACGACTTTTTTTTCTTTTCTTTTCTTTTTTTTTGGTCCGCGTTCGGTCCGAACGGCCGAACGTGTCTATAGGGGGGCCCGGACGTTCGGGCGTTCGGCCCGTCCCGAGCGCCGGTTACTCTGACGTAATCATTAATACTAGATTACGTATGAATTGATTGTGAATAATTAACTGTTAATTGAAGGATCAACACGCAGAGGGAAAACTATTAGGGCCATTATTTACTCAGCCGACTACGTTCACTTTCAGCAAATTGCTCGGCTCCACGTAAAGTTCATGCATCTGGTCCAGATCTAGCTTTTTTTTTTTGTTCCCTAACCTATTTCTTGTATCAATTGTTTTACGGAACCTAATACTATCAATTAATTGTTAATTCATTAATTATTAATTAATATTATTAATTAATTGTTAATAATATGGCCCAGATCTTGCTTTTCGTTTCACTATCCTGTTCGAATCCTACAAATAAAAATTTTAATTAATATTAATTAATTGTTTAGTAATTACCTGTTAATTAAGTTTTAATTAATATTAATTAATTGTTTAATAATTAACTGTTAATTAAAGGATCGACATGCAGAGGGAAACAAATTCGGTATTATTTACTCGCCCGCATACGTTCACTTTCAGCAAATTGCTCAGCTCCACGTAGAGCGCATGCATCTGGCCCCGATCTTGCTTTTCTTTCCCGCTATCCTACTCTTTAACCCTACCAATTTTTATTTTTATTTTAATATTATTAATAATTAATTGTTTAATAATTAACTGTTAAATTAAAGGATCGACATGCAGAGGGAAACCTTTTCGCTATTGTTTACTCACCCGAATACGTTCACTTTCAGCAAATTGCTCAGTTCCACGTAGAGCTCATGCATCTGGCCCAGATCTGCCGCATTCCCATGCGAGTATATAATCGTCAGCTTTGCATTCGGATACGTCACGTACATCGCCGATATATCTTGCTTCCGTCTCGTGCTCAGCCACATCACCTCCTCGTTCTTCCTCATCTCTACCCCCGACATGCAAATCTTGCCTGTCACTTCATCCTTCACCAGCTTGTAAGATGGCGGATCCGGCGGAAAAAACGCGAACTTAGCCGCTATCCCTGACGTCGCGGCACCCAACCTAGCAGCAATAACCGAGGTAACCGCACCCATTACGGACGACGGAATATATAAATGGATAAAAAAGATATATATCGTCAAACAGAGCTCTATAAATGGATAAAAAAGATGTATAACGTCAAACAGAACTCTGGCCGATAAACCGGAGGCAGCAGAGAGAGGGACAAGAGGAGGAGAACGAACTACCTAGGGGCTGTGACAAACTGTTTCGTCGGAGTGTTGTAATATTAAATATATATCGTCACAATATATATATGTATGCATATATCGGTTTGATGGGTCGGTCGCCGTCCAGATCTGTTTTCAAAAGACCGGCTGGATGCAGAGGACCATATCCGGATCGGTCGGTCGCCGCCGTCTTGTATAAGAAAAGAACGCCCGGATCCCGATCGAGTGTTGCACTCTTTTGTCGATGATGAGCCCGCCAAAGCGCGGTCGGATCGCGGTCGGTCGGTCGGTCGTCCGGATCCCTATCAATAGTGCAGTGTTGGCATCAACACTCGATCTGTCGTCGTCGTTCCGGATAAAACAAAAAACTTGGGCGCAATATGTTGTTGTGGATAAAAACTCTGTTAGATAGATCGGTCGGTGCAAAAGCGGAGCAGAGGCGCTCAATCCGTCGGCGTCTCGTCGGACAAGTAAAAGAAAAGAAAAAGAAGTATCTGTCGAACTCTTCCCCCACCGACAAGGATATCCTCGGATTTTCTTCCCCGAGACGGATTGACACGGCACTCTCTTCCAAGAGTAGAAGGGACTTCAATTGAATAGAAAAGATTAAAAAAAAAAAAAAAAGACTCCGGAGCCGAAAAAAAAACAAAAACAACCGCCGTGCAGGTATGCGCACCTTCCAAAAATATCAACGGCTGTGAATTAGCCTTAAAAAAAAAAAAAAAAAAAAAAAAAAAAAAAANNNNCCAGACTTCAATGGAAATAGAATCTCATCATTTGGTAACTACAGGCTCTGCCTTAAGAAGCAGAGGGACGATAGGACTATGCAGAACAGATAGATGGGCGCACAAGGCTTCCCGCGCAAACGACAAAAAGACAAAAAGACAAAGACAAAAAGATGAATATTGATCACCGATTGACAAAACGACAAAAAAAGCGGCGATGGCAATATCATATCCTAGCTGGATAAACCCTGATTGGATTTAACCAAAAGAGCCTTTTGCTTCAACGACCCCACCCCGCGCCTCGACCCAGCTGTCAGTGACAAAAACAGGGCTGGCCTCCTGCTGCTGAGCGCATACGACAAATGCTTCTTGCTCCACCGTAAGACGAATAATAATACGCTAAAGAAAAATATAAGACCTATACATACATGGATGTGGATAAGGATCTAGCGGATGTAGATAAAGATCTAGTGGATATGGATAAAGATCTAGCGGATGTTGGATAATTTTGGATCTGGAAGGATAAAAAGATCTAGTGGACAAAAAGGCCTAGAGGATAAAAAGATTCTAGTGGATCCAAAGATCTAAGGATCTAGTGGAGAGCAATCCAGTAATTGCCCGCCTGTCCACCTGCCCGACGAGGAGGGGGCGGGCGGGGGGAAGCGGGGGGGGGGAGGGGGGAACACGAACTCTTGCCGACAGAAGAGATATAGCTGGAGTCGCTGATGAAAAACTTTCCGCCGCTCCGCGCCCACAGAGTACAGCGGATGTGACCGCGGCGCGGCGGAGTGTCCCCCACTCTCTCCAATGACAATGCTGCTGCGTAGCGGCCTCAACACCTCTCCTGCTGAGATTCGCGTGCCTGTTCCAAACACGAACACGGGGAACAAGCTCTCTCTCTCTCTCTCTGTGTGTGTGTGTGTGTGTGAGCAATGCTCCTGCCTACCGGGCTGATGTACCACCACAGCCTTCGAGTGTTTGACCCGCTGCGGCCATTGCCTCAGCAAAGTTCATTTCGCTCCCACCCACTCACGATGTGAACCGACTCTTTGATTGATTGATTGATTAGATGGGTTGCAGATGCGTCCTGCACATGCCCATCACCCGCAGAACTATCACGACGATGGCCATGCGGATATAAAAACGGCTGCGGCAAATGGTTCATACATCATCCACGTATGCCACGCCCCCTACTAACACCACTCAAAACATTACTCGAATCTCGATGGTGAACGTTAAACACTCGCCGAATAGCTATCCAGTCGCCCCCTTCTTCCAGTCGGTCGATCAACCTCGCAGAAGAGACATATTTCCACCAACTCCCGGACGCACACCTCTGCTCCGTCTCTTGCATGCATTGATTCTCTCTCTCTCTCTCTCTCTCTCTCTCTCTCTCTCTCTCTCTCTCTCTCTCTCTCTCTCTCCGGTTCGGATTTTATCCGCTTCAGACTTCCAGCATCAGTCCCAGTCAATGTTTGTTTTTACTCCGAAACGAAAGAAGGAACGGAACAACGCTCATTCAGCCGCCGCAATCGCCCGCCAGTACAACGACCACCTTGCTGTCCGTACAACGACCCACTTCGCTCCCCTTGCTGTCCGTACAACGGCCCACTTCGCTCCCCTTGCTGTCCGTACGACCCACTTGGCTCCCCTTGCTGTCCGTACAACGACCCACTTCGCTCCCCTTGCTGTCCGTACAACGACCCACTCGCTCCCCTTGCAGTCCGTACAACGACCCACTTCGCTCCCCTTGCTGTCCGTACAACGACCCACTTCGCTCCCCTTGCTGTACGTACAACGACCAACTTGCTGAACTTCTTGTCGCTATCGCCCTGCTCCCAGAAGAATTCGCGGCGCTTCACCGCCTGAAACACCCTGCCTCCCTCTCTGCAGACAAACAGACATCATCAAGGGGACACGCATCCAAGGTACCCAAAACCTCTTTTTCTTAGAATAGAATAATATTATTTTTCACAATAATTACTCATAATCAGATTCCCAAATTGCACGTCGGCTACGCATAATTTTTTTCAACCATTTCAAAAAGACCGATTTCTCATTGAAGAAAAGAAAAAAAAGAAAGAAAGAAAGAAAAGGCATTCATCCCAGATGACGGAAATTTTCATTTTTCCGGAATTTCAGTAAATAAATGACTTTCCGCGAAACACGTGTCAGATCCTCAAATTGCATCTCGCACATGCACGTATACATATTTTTAAGCTGTTTCTTGAAATATTTCTTCACTTCACCATTCCGTAATGTCAAGTGACTCAAGTCTGACTAACCACTCCAATTTCTTTTTTTTTTGGATTTTTTTTCTCACCTTACTAATTTTCAACGACTACTGCGTGAAACTTTTTTTTTTTCACCGGCATGCACAAATTCACGTTTCTCGAAAATCAATTTATTTATTTCACAATTAAAATTCAAACAAAGGGTGCAACCCGACCATTGTACTCGTGCGCCATTACAAAACAAGACGGCCGCAGATGCACAACCACACACACACACACAGCCACAAACAGAGATCGGTCCTCATCAAACGCTGGGCTCATGGGAGCAACCGGAGATCGGTCTTCATCACACGCTCAATCCCACATGCCAACTCTTCTCTCTCTCTCTCTCTCTCTCTCTCACACACACACACACACACACACACACACACACTCCCCCTCCCCTCTCTCAATCTCTTCATCAAACGCTGGGCTCATGGGAGCAAACGGAGGTCGGTCTTCATCACACGCTCAATCCCACATGCCAACTCCTCTCTCTCTCTCTCTCTCTCTCTCTCTCTCTCTCTCACACACACACACCCTCCCCTCTCTCACACACACACACTCCCCCTCCTCTCTCTCTTTCTCTCACACACACTCCCTCCCTCCCTCTCCTCTCTCACACACACAAACACAGACGCACAAAATCTGTGTCGAGGTTAAACCTCCTAACGAGTCTGTGAAAATCAGACTGAACAGTCTGTCAGAGTTTCCCTTCTTCTGTGGCATCGTGTTCGGCGCGCGCGCGCGCACACACACACACACACAGAGTTACAGACTCTTTGAATTAATTGGCATTCACAATCCCTTGGCGATCCCATGTTGACACAGTGTTCTTTCTGAATGGGCTAACAAACAGATACAACCCACTGCGAGCTCGCAGGGTGACGTTATACGTAGAGCAAGGAAGAGGATGGAGACAAGAAGAGAGAGAGAAATGTGCGTGTATCTAGTCCCCCACAAGCCCTAGAAACGTCCTTCCTGCGAACAAACTACTACATGACTTCACGTTTACGAAACGATGCCGTGTCGAGTCCTCTCCTGCAAACCTGTCCTGTGCGCACAGGGGTCCCAAACCTCCCACCTTTGTGCCCTACCCCCTACACGACTCTGAATCCCACGGGCTCGTCAGCAGATTTGCTCCGTCCAAGAAATCACAGGAAACACTTCTTTCGCAAACTCGTTTTGTAATATACAATCTCACAAAGGTTCCGCTGTACACCGACTCATCAGTGCTCTGGTTCCGTTGATTTCAGGTTGGGGAAACTACTTTTAAGTGTTCGGAATGCTCTGCAATCTTTCCTCTTGAACTTCTAGCGATCTCACCACCTTCTTCCTTCTTTTCGTTTCCTCCTCTGGAAACGAGTGCAATTCCTGTAGGGAGATTATAGAGAAAAAGACTGACTCCTATCTTGTGAGATCGCTCTTGATGAACTACAAAAAGAAAACGAAACGAAGGTGCGATCGCTCTTGATGAACTACAAAAAGAAAACGAAAAGAAGGTGAGATTGCTCCTGAACTACAAAAATGAGCGAGCAACAGCAAAGACCCTGACGAATAAGGTAAATGGTTTTTCGCTCTGCTCTTGGATTGCTCCCTGTTCAAGAAACCATTTACCTTTTTGTTCTCTGCCTGATAAGCAAACATAAATAGGTCATTATTTTTTTCATTCTAGTATTAGGACGTGTCAAGAAACAAATCACCTTCTTTTCGTTCTTTGTCCCCTGATCGTAGATTCGAATCCCCTCGCCTCTCCCACTTCGAGCGATCTCAGGGGCTAGGTCCCACTTGCACGGATTAAGAGATTCTGGCCGTTGATCTTTGCTATCTACGGTCAATATCGCTTAATCCGTGTAAGTGGGACCTAGCCCCAGGACGTGGCAAGAAACAAGTCACCTTCTTTTCGATTTCAATTTTTCACCTTCAATTTTTTTATTTTTCGTTCGCGCTTTTTTCGAGAGAGAAGATGGCGGCAGGTATCATCAGCACTGCTGCTGCTGCTGCTGATCTTGTCTCATCAATCGACTGGTACATGCTCAATCAGATCAAATGCGAGTTGTTTTCTCATTTTTAATTCCTTTTTTTTTTTTTGGACCGGGGGGGGGGAAGGCATTCCGGATTCTTTTCTTTCCTCGCTTTTGTTTTTGCAACCAAAAAAAAAAAAAAAATCCCTTTATTCGTTATTAGTAATTCTCGAAGGGCCCAGTGCCCAAGACAAAACGTACAAGTGGTCAATAAGAAGGAACAGAGATTATCGCGACGC